TGCAAAATGGGCTTTATGAAATTATTTGCAAGATGACTTCGATGGAAAAATCTTCCACTGGGCAGATGTTCCCGTCGTCGTTGCTGTTTGTTTCTCTAATGCATGTGTTGCGTGTATTTTGCAAGTAAATAAATGCCTTTAGTTTTCCGAGTTGCAAAGGGAACTAAAACATCTGTTCTGTGCTTGCCTTCTCAGCAAAGGGTGTGAGAGGAGAGAAGCGTATCTGACCGCCAGACGTTACCCTGAGCCTGCTGGGTTGCAAAGACAAAGGCTTGAAGACCCTTCTCCCACCTCCCAGCCTGATGGTAGGACTGTGCAGGGCAGCTGGGAGGACGTTCTCGTTATGGGGCCCAATTTCCTCAACGACTTTTGATAGAGAAGAGGTGACTGAGGCTAGAGAGAGGTGCTTTGCCCAGGCACCATTATTTTGGGGGCAAATAAAGGCTGGCAGTGCCCATCTGTGGGGTAAGATGCTGTGGGACATGGGAGCTCCCGAGCTGTTTGCTCCTTTGCAGAAGGAAAGGGAGGGTACACGCATTTGGGAGAGCCGTTTTTTTAAATAAGGGTGAGGAATTGGTGGCATGTATTACTCTGGAGAGGACGGGGGAGGACTCTCCTCTTGAAAAAGCTGGAGGGTTTGAAGGGAGCCCATTTGTTGGAGCAGATGGGATGGGAGGTGTGGACACCGCATCCCGCTGCAAGTCGTTTCTCGGTGGCAAAAGGGGAAAATGTAGCAGGGCTTGTGTTGAGAGGAGGACGGTGTTGAGCAGAGCGGCTTTATTTACGGGGAGAGGAAGAGATGAGAGCATGGGTGCGATAAATCGTGGAGAGCGAGAGCAGTGGGGCGAGGATGTGGTGTCTTGGCTCTTCTTCGTCCCCACGTTGCCTTGGTCGCTGGGTCTCGTACCGTTAGGTAACGAGAAGCACTACTGAGCTCAAAGACGGGTTAGAGGGATGCAGAAATTCTGGATCTTTTGGATTGGAAATCCAAATCTTTTGGATTGGAAGAACAGCAGCAACCCAGTGCTGCTGGTAGTCTTTAATTTGTTCAGGAGGAGAACGATGGACTGTGATGTTTCAAGAGGTGAAAGCTCAAATTTGCAGATGAAACCTTAGTCCCTGCTACAGAAGGTCTCAGGTGAAGGCTTAGCGTGGGCCTGGCTTGAGCCAAATTACACGGCACCCGCTCGCCCCTCTTAAACTCCCAGTGCCTTAAACGCTTCTTAAATAGTTTATCCTTAAATCCCGGTTGCTCAGAAGATGACCCACTAGATATCCTCTCGTGCGTACAGATATTAACTGGTACAACGGAGTCACGTACTGTCTGATGCTGTAGTTAGGGTGTAAAGGGACAATTTCTGAAGCGTTTGCTGCCTGTGGATGCCTGCAGGAGTTAAGAGAAGCTGTGAATCGGCATATGAAAAATTAGCCACTTTGTAGTACTGAGGTTCCCCATCTACTGCAAATTCAAGGCTAATTTTTTCCCTTGTTTCAGCACGCCTAGTTCCTTTGGTGTCGTGTAATTGTGTAACTGCTGAATTTGGCCCATTATCTGCGAGGGAACTTTCTTGCCTGCAGCAATGTTTTAGCTCCTTAATACCGCTGTAACGTTCTGTAGCTTTTTATTAAATATACACCGCGTAATTTCATGCTTGAAATAACCCATTTGACAGTTTAAAGCAATGTTTCTATAGGGGAAACAACTCTCCTTTATTTAAAAAAGGAGATTTAAAAAAAAAAAAAAAAAGGGAGGGGAAAAAAAAGGATCATGCCAGTGGCTTGGGATGGTTGTGTGTAAAAACCCTTACGATATCCCAGATCCACATAACAATTTCAAATATCTGGTGATAATGCAAAAAATGCAACCTCACCACTGGAAAGAAATTCCAAGTAGGTGTTGCCCATCCAAATTAAATCTATAGGATGCTGGTTGAATGCAGGCTCAGCGTTGCTGCCCGCCTTTGCGTGTTCGTTGCATCCCAGGGGGTCGCTGGATGGTTGCGAGGGTGGGGAGGAGGCTGAGAGATGGTTTTGGTCTTTAAGTTTGCTGTATTGTGGTACTGGCTTTAACGAGAATTGGTTTTGCTTCCAGGTCCTCTGTGCTGTGGCACATAACACCGTGCCTGGGAGATCGAGCAGCCACGGCGCAGCATCCTTCTCGATGGAAGAAGAGGTTTTTGTGGGATGGCTGTTCTCCGTATCCTCATGGAAGTTGAATCCTTATCTCCCTGTACCGCCTCTGTCCTTGCATCCCTCCCCGGGGCTCGTTGCTCGTATCTAAATAGAATAAGCTAAACTCTGCCGCTGCGCTTTGGCACTTCTGAGGTCCTTGGCTGCCTCATGCCATGAGGTGAGTCAGCTTTGCTCTCTCGCGGTGGCTTAGGAAAGCTGGAGCGGCGGCTCTGCGGCTGAACACAGGGGCTTAAGCCTGAGATACAGAAAGACGTGGCTCAGGAGCCAAGTCGGAGCGAAGCCCACGTCCATCCAGGCCATGGGCCTTATTTTTTCCCATCAAATAACACTTTACACGACGTATTTCTCAGATGGCTTTAATCACACGTGCGGGAGAAATATCTAGATATTCAAACTGTGAAGCTGTCATCTAAAAATCCCTGGTTTAATTTTTGCTGCAGTTTATATTTCCCGGTGCAGAAGGTCTGTGCCGGTGATCGCTTTCCAATCGTGGATGCAATCAAAGACGGTCCGTTAAGATTTCCACCGCAGAATCGCTTCAGCCAAGCCTGGGGCCGTTGTTCAGGTTGGCTTTTTTTAGCTTCCATTTCTGGGCCGAAGGCTCGAAGAAGAAAGAAATAGGTGAGATGAGAGCACAGGCTCCAGCAAAGAGGAAAGAGCAGACGTATGTCTGGGTGTAGTCATAGAGCCACCCTGCAGGAGAAAAGACACTTATTAAAGCTGTTGGATTTTTCTCACTGAAAAAATCGTTTTGGGAGGTGGGCGGCAAGCAAAGGATGTGTGTTCTCGTTTAAGAATTCCTCAGATATTTTCTTTAAGTTCTCTTAACTCTTCACGTGCCTGCTGCTGCGCAGCACGTACACGGACGCTTGGGACTATTGCCGCTGGTACAACAGGCAAACTTGTAGGTCGTTATTCCCAGAGCTAACTTCTCCCGATCCTTCTAGCGGATGTGGATTTTAATTTGATTGAATTTAATCCCTGATGGTTTTTCCTGTTGAAATAAGTGGGCCAAAAGTAGCTGCTGCAGCAGACGGGAGATCCCATGAGATGACTCGCATGTGTCGGTGCCTGCGACATCTGGGCTGCAAACCGCAGATTCTCCAGCCTTGCCGCCTTGTGAGCAGACCCAATTTAATGCAACCTGTCTAATGTGAGAGATCCCAGGCCAGCAGCTTGAAGGGAACTTGCTTAAAAGTAGCTTTGCAAGCACTTAAAAGGAAAAACTAAATTCCATAAAGACTCTCGGGAATCTGCGAGGGGGCAGGTCGCCTTTTAAAATGACCTTGAAGTGTTTTGTTTACTTATGGCATATCATCTCGCGGCTAGACAACCGTTTTAAAGGTGGAAGATTCCTCCAGTTGAATCTAAAATACACAAAGTGATGGGAGTTGCTGCTGCGCGTAATAAAAACCTTGATATACTCCTAAACCTGGCGTGGGGACGGTTGGATGTCCGGGGTGGGTTAGCAGCTGAGCCAGATCTACTGGTGTAAAATGCAATTCCCCTGGTGACACCCGCGGACTTGCATGATTTACACAAACAGATCTGGCCCCAATTTGGGATTCTTAAAACCAGCTCTGGTTGGAAGGGAAATAACATAGTCCCCAGAGACGCCGGTCTCAGCCGTGCAGGCGCGTTGCTGCTGCTGTTATCTGCAAGTGCCGCAGCTCTGAGTAGGGAAGGAAACGGTGCTGGTAAAATTTGGGGATCTGTGACAGACCAGAGGTGTTAACGTTTCGCTTGCTGTAGATTTACACGGCTGCAGGAATCTTTTACAGAACCGGGGAAAGGCTGCAGGCTGCTTTGCTCTACCCCGGTTTCGGTTTCTCTTGGCTCGTGCCTTTCTCAGGGTGAGTTTCAGCTCTGGTTTTTTTCTCAGGGATGTCGTGCGAGCCGTGGCGCAGCAAGACGGAGCTTGCTGTCGGGAAGGAGGATCCCGCGGCGCTGGACTTGGAGACGTGGAGCGGCTCTCTCCCGTGACCCTCGTGTTTTTGCAGAGTGGTCCATGCTCCAAGGTGGGATCTGTTTTTGCTGTCTGAAAGTGTGTGGGATTTGGACAGGAGAAGGGATGCTGGAGTAGCCCCTCGTAAGACGTACAGGACAGAGTGCTCCAGTTGTGGAGCTCTGTTTTATTTAAATCACTTTTTAAATATCCCTCAGGATATTTTTAAATTTTTTTTGGTTGTTTTTTCCATAAGCTCTACTTGGCACTGAAAGACCAGCGTTGCCTCCTCGCCGGCAGCACAGCCATCACCTTCCACAGCATGACGCCTCAGCCTTTTAAAGCACCCAAGGTGTCTGTGTTCCCGCTCCCGCCTCCAACAA